GATCACAATCCCCAGACATCCCAAAGGATGTTTAACTCCATCCGAATTCCTCCAGCGGATTAATTATGACAAATGATGTCACTTAAAACAACAAACAGGGCAATACTTATCTTAAATCAACTTCCCGTAGCTAATTCCAGCTTCACCATCATGTATCCAGAATTGCACTTAACTGGATCTGGATGAAAAATATAAACAAACATTATCAACATTGCCCTTGTTTCCGTTTGCATGCAGTATATTTACCTTGAGAGTATTCCACTTGGCATGTTGGCTTGCTGATTTTGTTGACCTCCTCGGTTCCGTTGGGAGGGAATTCACCCCGGTTTCGGCTGAATAAAAATCCATCTCGGTATGGAGTCCACTCCCAGTCCGTGACACTTCTCAAGTAAACGCCAGCAGCCGGCTGAAAAAAATTTACAAAAATTATCAAATTATATTCACCCCTGTTCTGTATTTCGTTTCAAACGAAATTCTCATACAAAAAAATATTTTTTGTATGAGAATTTCGTTCGAAACGAAATACAGAATAGGGGTGATTGTTTTTGTTTTTATTGAAAAGTAGTTTACTTACCTTGAGTATAAAAATGTTCCGTCTTTGGTCCCGTCGGAAGACCATTCACTCCCGAATATGGCCATCGGAGGCCAATTTCACGGCCCGAAGAAAAACAAACGACTTCCACGAATGAAATAAAAACATGGCTGACCACGTAATCAGCCGCTACGAACAAAATCACAAAAAAATAAAAACAACTTCCATCCGCCATTTGGTAGCCCGGCGCATGAAATTACTCTAGCGGGGCGAGTCGCCTTTCGTCCGGATCCCGGAGCGCCATTTGGTAGCCCGGCGGATGAAATTACTCTAGCGGGGCGAGTCGCCCTTCGTCCGCATCCCGGAGCGCCATTTGGTCGCCCGGCGGATGAAATTACTCTAGCGGGGCGAGTCGCCTTTTGTCCGCATCCCGGACAAAGGGCGAACGATCAGTCTTCAAGTCGCTCAATGTCAAATGACGTCACTTTTTCGCCGGCAATTCGTGTGGGCATATGCATCCGAAAGCGGTTGGTCCTCTGTCCTCTTAATTTTGGAGAGAAGGGGGTACGCTGATAAAATCGAGCAAGTTATTTTGTTTTTATAAATTTTGATTTTTTTTTTCTCAAGCATTTTATAAAAATCTGTATAAATATGTATTGTAATTTAAAAATCTGTGATAAATCTGTATTCTGTATCGGGTCTGTATTAAGATTAAAAAATCTGTATAATACAGATAAATCTGTATAAATGGCAGCGCTGCCAGAGCTGCCAGGTGGTTTTATAAAAAATCTGTATCCACTCTATTAAAAAATCTGTATTTTCTGTATTGACGATTTTTTTCTTAATTAATCATGTTTTGTAGTTTTACAAATACAGTGCATACAAAATAACCATAAAAAGTGCTTAACCACCTATTCGGGCAATCGTACTTACCATACGGGATATAATTGCGCCATTTGTGATATCGTCCGTACTTATTTATAAGTAAGTTAGTTTCTATTCATTATCTACCTGATAAGCAGTTTTAAATGCAAAAAAGTGCACGAGTTCATTACTATTTGATATTTTTAATATAGATGAATACAATTAATTACATCATTTACAAGTCGAGAGATGTCGCCCCGCCAGTGCTGGTAAAATCATTTTTGCAGTATGGAGAATATCAGAAAATCCGCAATTTCTTACGAAATACATTTTCAATGCAAGTAAAATGTTTACGAGTACTTTCATTTGTACCATTTTAATGTGCTCGGGCACTTTTCTTGTATTTAACATACATGCTTATATAGACCTTTTTGACGTTTAATAGCCTTTCTCTATCTGGCACACTTGGATGAATGGACGGTTTGTTTTCCCACTAATCTGTTTCTCTCTTGCTCGCACTAATTCGATTTAAATGGTACAGTAGTGTGCGCCGATTAAACGTCAAAAAGCTCTATTGGAAAAATTCAATTAATACTGTAAATCCCCATACAATCAAAAAAGTTATTTTGTTTTTATAAATTTTGAATTTTTTTTTCTCAAGCATTTTATAAAAATCTGTATAAATCTGTATTGTAATTTTAAAATCTGTGATAAATCTGTATTCTGTATCGGGTCTGTATTAAGATTAAAAAATCTGTATAATACAGATAAATCTGTATAAATGGCAGCGCTGCTGGATACTAACAGCAGAGTTTGACAGTAGGCAGCATGTCCCGGGCTCAAATCGTTTATTTTGCTGTGCTGGGCCCGCTGTCACGGTATAACATGTTGCCTGCGCGCCAGCCACTGGGCTGTTTTTATCAAAACAATCACCAAAATCAGAGATGTCTCATTTTTTAATTACTCGATTAACAACTAATCGATTATTTTTTGTTCGCTGTGCTGCCATTTTTCCACCAATGAGAGTGCAGCACATGTTTGAAACGATCGGTGATGATCCTCTGGAGATGTTAATACCCTGTTCACATTACAGCCTATATCACGTAATATAGGCAGTCTTGCAATGAGCACTCATACATAGGATTTCCAGTGAAAACTAGATGTATGAGTGCTCATTGCAAGACAGCGTATATCACGTGATATACGCTGTAATGTGAACGGGGTATAATGCTTATTGGCAAATCAAAGTTGGCACTCGTGGAGAATAGAAGAACTATGAAAGTGATGATGGTTTCAAAATTTTGCACGGGGAAGTATACGAGTGCAATCTTAAAATGCTTTTATTTTGAAAATGGAGCATTTTATTTAAATCTGGTTACTGCTACAGTGGTAGAAAAGCGGAAGTCTATGTTTACACCTAAAAATCTGAAAAGAAATTAAGTTTTCTGTATTATATGTCTATTGAGTAGTCCTGAAGTTTTCTACTAACGTAGCACTTACCAGATTTAAATAAAATGCTCCATTCACAAAATAAAAGTATTTTAAGATTGCACTCGTATACTTCCCCGTGGAAAATTTTGAAACCATCATCACTTTCATAGTTCTTCTATTCTCCACGAGAGCCAACTTTGATTTGCCAATATCGGCATGATATAACCGATAACAAATATTTCGACAGTGAGCATGCATAAGGGCCTATACGCGATGATCGATTCTCTTCGTCGATGTTCTCTTTCGTTAATAACTCGCTAGATTTAACGTTTATCGGTGCGTTTGCTGTTGCTTTTGATAGCCAATACAACCTGTTACTACTCTGCATTGAACAAATTCTAGAAAATTGTTTCGCTTAGCTGTAGCAATGCAAAGAGAAATTCGATGAAGAGAATCGATCATCGCGTATACGCCCTTATGAATGCTCACTGTCGATTTTACTTTTCGGTTCGTTAATCGATTAATCGATTATTCGCATGAAAATCGACCATCACTAGATGAATGTGAAACGTCATTTCAAATATAAGGACCGTACATAAATAATGATACAATTTGAAAGGGACCGGGGCTAATCAAATTGCGTCCCCACGGTAACTGAAATTAACACGAGTGTTCACCGGTTGCCACTACTACTGGATTGTACCATAGAGGTAGCTCTAAGACTAGAAGGTCCCGGAATAACGTGCTCAAATTTTTGGCTCAGCTCTGGTACTATCTTCGGTCCCAAGCTAATCGAATCACCCCTCGAAACGTAGGAAAAACCAATAACCCCTCATTTTATCTGTCAAACTATCATAGCGAATCAAAACATTGTGTAGTACTAGATTTTCGACTAGAATGGGGTACGTTAATCGTTTGCTTGGGACCAATAGGCTAGTCAAGTAGTGAGCCAATTTAAAATCGTTACTTTCGTATTGATTGTTGATTGTACCACATGGCAACACTAAATGTTCTAGAATGTTTTGGTTCTATCTCTTTCACTCTACTCTAAACTGAAATGCATAAAAAAAATGATAAAATGATACACTCTTAGCACACTGTCAAAGATCATATTGCACACAAAATCAACTATATTCAAATCAAAACAAAAATACTAGCCCACCCGTAAAAAAAAAACCAATAAAAATACAATGATTTTCATTGTCATTATAACCATGATATTTACTGTCAAAACATTGGACATTTTTGTCCATTACCATAAAATCACAACGAAATTCATGGTTCACAACAATGAAAATCATGGTATTTGAGAAATTTACAGTAAAAAAGGGGGGTTGTTAAGCATCTTAACAATATAAAAAAGTGATTTTTCGCGAACAAATTTGATCTCATCACACTAATTTTCGTTGTTAGAGCATTGTATCGTTCAAAATCGAAATCTATTTTTTCTCCCATACAATAATTTAACAATAAATTTTAATGTACTCAAAATTCAACAGTAAAAATCATTGTAATTTCATTGTTATATTATAATTATTTTTTTTCGGGCATCTGATGGCTGATGGCACAAGCTTCTAAGAAAATTCTATTACAGCGAACCACATTATTTTAATTGATTTCTTTGCCAGTTATAACTATAGCCGTCTGTCACTTCGTTTGTGCCTATACATTCCACAAGATAAACCAGATAGGTCCTATGAGAATGCATAGAGGGTATGTGTGACCGCTTATTAGTTGACTTATACATTTTATGAATAATCAGCAATATTTATTTGCCAAAAGGTTTAAGGAGATTTATATCCGTGTAGCGATTTACCTCAATACATTCCCTAATAAAAAATAACCATAAATGAACGATAACTCAAATCATTGAACTATTCCACAAATGGTTTGGATGATACCCAGAAGACGTCGTTAAGCAAATTAATCATAAATTTTTTATTAGGGTTTAAAGAACCCAATTATTGGTAATGGTAATCGATTAATCGATTTAGTGCATGGAATTCGGACACCCCTAATTCCACCACGCGGTATCGCCCAATACTTCATCTGACCCGAACCGTTTTGAAACGCCACACCAACACACACGCAAATTCGTTGTTTTTCTAACCGTCGTTGCTGTCAAAGCTACCACCGAATTAGCAATCAAACAATAAGATCGACGAGAGAAGGACGCTGCATTCGCTTCCATTATAGGAATTTTGCGCAAAACTAATTTAACAGTAGGTGATTTTGACGACAGTTTGTAAAACAATGACCAGTGAGTGAGCCAGTGTGCGAGAATGTTTATTAAATCCATCATAATAGACGGCTTCAAGTCGTACGGCAAACGTACGGAGATCCATGGATTTGATCCGGAGTTCAATGCCATCACCGGTCTGAACGGAACCGGTAAGAGCAACATTCTGGACTCGATCTGCTTTGTGCTGGGCATTTCCAATCTGGTTCACGTAAGTTTTCATTTGTTTTTCTGTAGTGAAACGTTCAAGACAATCGGTTCGTCGTTTGTTTCAGGTCCGAGCAACGTCCCTCCAGGAACTGGTGTACAAAAGTGGTCAAGCGGGTGTGACAAAGGCAACGGTTACGCTCGTGTTCGACAACACAGACAAGGACCAGTGTCCGCTGGGCTACGAGAAGTGCAACGAAATTTCCATCACGCGTCAAATCGTCGTGGGCGGGAAAAACAAGTATCTGATCAATGGCAAGACGGTCCAGAATAAGAAAGTGCAGGATCTGTTCTGCTCGGTTCAGCTGAACGTGAACAATCCTAATTTTCTGATCATGCAGGGTCGCATCACGAAGGTATTGAACATGAAACCGCAGGAAATTCTGTCCATGATTGAGGAAGCGGCGGGGACCAGCGTGTACGAGGCCAAGCGGGAACATTCGATAAAGTTGATTGAGAAGAAGGATGCCAAGCTGAATGAGTTGTATACGGTGCTTCGGGAGGAAATTGAGCCAAAATTGGATAAACTCCGCAAAGAGCGAGCTCACTACGTTGAATATCAAAAGATCTGTCGTGACATCGAATATCTTACAAGGCTGTACATTTCCTTCAAGTACCTTCAGCACGTAAAAGCCGTGGAAAATTCGGAGAAGGCAATTGCCGCTTTGAACGGCGTGATCGATAGTAATCGGAAGACAATTGAAACCAACGTGATCGAAAGCAAAGAAATCGAGGCAAGTGCTAAAGCATTGCAGGAAACGATCGACACCGAGGGCGGTGGCGTGCTGACCAAACTGGAAGCGGAGCTGAATGCCGAGAGTAAGAAAGAGGCAACGGCTTCTGCTAATCGGGATAGCACCAAGGAAAGCATTGCGGTTGAACAGAGAAAGCTTAAAAATTTACAGAAGAGTACCAAGGATGACGAGGATGCCTTGCAGAAGAAGGAAGCGGAAATGCAGCGGACAGGGGACATGTTTCAAAGTCTGAAAGATGCTGATGAGGCGGATACCAAGGCCTTTGCTGATGCCCAGAAGCGTTTTGAGGCCGTCAGTGCGGGGTTGTCCACCAACGAAGATGGGGAAGCTGCTACCTTACAGGATCAGTTGATGGCCGCGAAGCAGAAAACGGCTGAATCGGCAACGGCCATCAAACAAAGTGAGATGGAACTGAAGCACTGTCAGCAGCTACTGAAGGAGAAGCAAGGGGATATGAACACCAGTGATGCGGCTTATTTGGAGGACAAAAAGAAACTGACCAAAACTGAAGGGCAAATCCAATCCATCACGACAGAACTGCAAAAGATTGACTACGAAGAAGGATCCATCGAGAAGCTGCACGAACGGAAGCAAGTTTTATCGCATGAAATTCGTAATCTTCGCGGGGAGCTTGATAGGAAAAATGCCTATCGTTGGGAGTTTCAGTATCGCGATCCGGAACCGAACTTCGACCGTTCGACGGTAAAGGGAATGGTTGCCAAGCTGGTGACGGTTCGGGACAAGAAATACGCCCTCAGTTTGGGTACGGCAGCCGGAGGAAGTTTGTACAGTGTGATTGTCGATTCGGATACCACCGGCAAGAAGCTCTTGCAGAAGGGTCAACTGCAGAGCCGTACAACCATGATCCCGCTGAATAAGATCACCAGCCGTTCGATCGACAACAATACCGTTCGGGTGGCCGAAAACTTGGTGGGCAAGGGATGCGCTGTGACGGCCCTGTCCTGTGTGGACTACGATCGTCAGCTGGAACCGGCTATGAAGTTTGTCTTTGGTCATTCGTTCCTGGCGGATGACATGAATGTGGCCAAGCGGGTGACCTATCACCGGCAGATCATGTGCCGGTCGGTGACGCTGGATGGCGATGTGGTGGATCCCAGCGGAACGTTGTCCGGCGGTGCCAAGCCCAAGGGTGGAACCGTGTTGCTCGAGGTGGAAGAGATCAATCAGATCCAGAAGCTGCTGGCGCAGAAGGAGACCGAGTATCAGCATGTTTGCGACGAGATTAGGTGAGTTGATTCGATTAAGCTTGATATAGTACCGTGGAGGCACCGTATAGTATTACCGTATTACGTTCCAACTTAAGTTTAGTGTTTAGTACTTTCATAGTACTTGGTAATTGATAGCTCTCAAAGCTCGTATCCATTTTTGCTTTCATATATTGTGGTCTTGCTACTCTTGCTCTATAGCTACGTGTTTACCGATTGATTTGAAGCATCGTAAAACTTCAGGGAAAAATACAATGTACCCCATTGTAGTGCTTCAGAGAAGTTCGTAAAAATTCGGGAATTTATAAAATCGTAAAAAATCGTCTTAATACACTTCAGTGTATGTTTAAGTGTCTATTCCTGATATGTATTATCATAATGATGTATGACTACTGTATCCACCAAAAACAAATGCACGCAATTCAAGCACAACAGAATACAATTAAAATTAGTAGCACTTGCAGTTCCTAGCATATTCTTGACTGAAAACTATTTCCAATCTTCCGCACTACAGCAAACTGGAACGCATTGCCCATCGTTACAACCAACTGAAGGAGCAGCTGGATATGATGAACTACGAGCTAAAAACGTTGCAGCAGCGTTTGGCCCAGACCAGCTACCAGCAAGCGCAGGCAGAAATCGAAGAGCTGAAGCAAAAAATGGGTAAACATTTCAGAAAATTTCCCCCCGCTAGTCATGTCCCTTTTATCGTACATTTTCCACCTTCCAACCAACAGAAACTCTGAAGCTGACCATGGTGGAAGCCCGCCAGGCACAAACGCAGGCAAACGCCAAGGTGAAGGATCTAACTGCGATGATCGCCGACAGCAAAGGTCACCGGGAAAGGGAGCTGAAGGCCGCCGAGGACGACTTGAAACGAGCGAAGAAGAGAAGCGAGGACAGTCGGAAAAATTGGAAGAAACATGAACAAGGTTTCGAAACGCTAAAACTGGAAATCGAAGAACTGCAAAAGAGCATAGCAGCGGCCAAGGAGCAAGCTACTAAGCTGGAAGAGACGATAGAGGAGTTGCAGCAGACCCTGCAGTCAGCCAGCGAAAACAGCTCGGCGTTGACGAAGGGAGTTGCAGCGGTGAAGGAGAAAATTAAGCAACATAAGGAAACGATCAACAACCAGAATAAGGAACTCAAGGCAAAGTATCATCATAGGGATAAGTTGTTGAAGCAGAACGACGAGTTGGAGTTGGATATCAAGAAAAAGGAAAACGATATCCAGAAGGTTAGAAACGACAATAAGGATGGGTATAACAAGATAAGCGCACTGGAGGAGAAGTACCCTTGGATCGGCGAGGACAAGGAATTCTTTGGGGTTAAGAATACGCGGTACGATTACAATAAGGAAGATCCACAGGAAGCGGGAAGAAAGCTCAATAAATTGCAGGATTCGAAGGAAAAGATGGGAAGGAACATCAATCAGAAGGCGATGGTTTTGCTGGAGCGAGAGGAGGAACAATACAAGGAGGTCATGCGTCGCAAGCATGTCGTGGAGGAAGATAAGAAGAAGATTCAAAAGATTATCACCGATTTGGACGAGGAGAAGAAGAAACAACTGAAAGTCGCATGGACGGAGGTGAACGAAAATTTTGGCAGCATTTTCAGTACACTCCTTCCGGGAACACAAGCCCAGTTGGTACCACCGGACGGAGTCAACTTCATGAAGGGTCTCGAAGTGAAGGTCGGCTTCAACGGTATGTGGAAGGAATCTCTTACGGAACTGAGCGGTGGACAGCGCTCGCTGGTGGCCTTATCGCTGATCTTGGCAATGCTGAAGTACAAACCGGCCCCGTTGTACATCCTGGACGAGGTGGATGCCGCGCTGGATCTTTCCCACACTCAGAACATTGGCAACATGCTGAAGGCACATTTCACCAATTCCCAGTTCGTCATCGTGTCTCTCAAGGATGGTATGTTCAACAATGCGAATGTGCTGTTCCGAACTAAGTTTATCGATGGGATGTCCGGTGTGACGCGGACCGTCAATCTGGCTCACGCGAAGGCGAAAGCTGCGGATAGGTGATTGCGGTCAGGCGGATGATTGGGTTTGATAAGAGGTACAAAGTATGAGTGTTCAGTACGGTAAGTTTGAGAAAATAGTTCCAAATAGAGTACGAGAAGCACTAGGTCGTTTCCAGATTCATAGAATTGTAGAAAGAACTTCCCTTTTTGGGGATTTGCATGGTAATCGATTGATTTTCATATTCATATTCTTGGATCAAATGTCAGTTCCAGGTACCTGCACAGTTTTTTACCCGTTTGGACTATGAAACTCTTAGGGTACGGCCAGGGTAGACGCGATTCGCGATGCGACGCGACCAATTCAAAAGAATCTTATTATTTATTATTATTCCTTGCGTGAGTCGCATCGCGTCGCGTCGCGTGTCGCGTCTACCCTGGCCGCAGCCTAAGAGGAGGGAGTTAATACGACCGGTTGGGTTGAAACATGAGACTAAACTAAACTAAATAAAGTCTTAATTGATGCAGTACTGACATTTATAGCATACTAGGATTATTATAATTTCATCGAGTTGCTTCGATCTCCTTCACTCCTCCTCAAGCTCGGTGAGTTGCTTCGATTACTCCTACTCAAGCTCGGCGGGCTGTAGACCAATTTTCAGGCGCATCTTCTCCATCTTGACGCGAGCCAATGGTTTTGTTAGACCATCGGCAACCATTTGTTCACTGGGGCAATAGCGAACGGCCATCACACTATTGTTGACCAGTGTGATGTACATGTGCAGTGTACATTCCTCCAGATCGAACCCGTGACTTGGAGCTTACTGACGCACATTGTCGATCCGTCTTGGCCGCTTCAGACAAAGCAGGCCCTTCCGACGAAGTTATTGTTCTTGGCGATTTTAACCTACCGGACATTGCATGGACTCCAACCCATAGTGGTTTCTTTTGTCCTGATCACGAGCGTTCATCTTTCCACGTAGGAACCATCCAGCTCCTGGACAGTTATAGCACAGACAAACAGACATAACACATTGAATACTTTTCAATTTAAAACATCGTTGCTAAAACACTACCGCCATCTGTTGAGCATACTGTGATGGGTAGTACGCTGAACAGATGGCGGTAGTGTGTAAACGTCAAACGCAAGGGTTATTGACTAGGCGCGCCACAGGTGGCGGTATTACCAACTAAAAACATTTAAATTGACCGTTAAATGCGTGTTCGATGAGCAAATTGCCAGTGTTATGTCTGTTTGTCTGTGGTTATAGTACCGCAATTCTGTCACAAATCAATGGCCTGTTGAATGAAAACAATCGCACCCTGGATCTCTGCTTTGTGAGTGCTCGTGATACAGCTCCTTTCCTCTCCACGGCACCCGAACCTTTAGTCAAGGTAGTGCATCATCACCCTGCTTTAGTTATCGTGATCGAAAATAATATTGTCCATGATTTCACCAGCACTCCAAACGCTGTGTCATATGACTTCCGTAGAGCTGACCATTGCAGTATCGTCCATGTGCTGTCTAATCTAGATTGGGAGCATATTCTAGATCCTGTAGACGTCAACATTGCTGCACAAACCTTTTCTCACGTCTTGGCATATGTCATTGACAGACACGTTTCCAAAAAGATCATCCATATCGACTCTCGCGTCCCGTGGATGACGAAAGATCTTCGCTCGTTGAAAAGAACTAAGAAGGCTGCTCTCAGAAGATTTACTAAACTCCGCACACTGCCACTGAAATGCTACTATGTCAGACTCAACCACGAGTATAAGCGGTTAAGTCGTCTCTGTTTTCAACGCTATCAAAGGAGGATTCAACGGCGGCTAAAATCACACCCGAAATCCTTCTGGAACTTCGTAAATGAGCAACGCAGGGAAGTCGGCTTACCCTCTTCCATGATTTTTAATGGTGAAACTGCTGGAAATCAACAAGACATTTGCAACCTGTTCTCAGCCAAATTTGCTAGTGTGTTTGAAGCCGAGCAACTCTCCGCTAATATCATTACTTCCGCGGCCAGTAATGTTCTTTTGATCAACCAAACGCTCAGCATGGTCGAAGCCACTACAGATACGATTTCTAGAGCAGCATCTAAACTTAAGACTTCAACCCGATGGTGTTCCGTCGATTATTCTTAAAAAGAACATCACATGACTTTTAGATCCACTGCGCCGCATATTCCAGCTCTCTCTTTCCAGCGGCATCTTTCCGTCTTGCTGGAAGACTGCGGATATGTTTCCTGTTCATAAAAAGGGAAGCAAACGCGACGTAAACAACTACCGGGGAATCACGTCGCTGAGTGCTGTACCAAAACTTTTGGTTGTCATAGACTCCCTAAATGCGCATTGCAGGCAATATCTAAGTACAGATCAACACGGATTCATAACTGGGCGTGCCACAACTACGAACCTGCTGTGCCTAACGTCTTACATCACAGACAGTTTGATTGCTCGGACCCAAACGGACGTTATCTACACAGATCTTACGGCAGCCTTCGATAAGCTGAACCACGAAATATCGATCGCTAAGCTTGATAGGCTAGGAATCGGTGGAAATCTTTTGAGATGGTTTCGTTCATACCTCACGGAGCGCCAATTGACAGTAACTTTGGGTACTTGTCGCTCAGCTAGCTTCTGCGCTAAGTCCGGTATACCTCAGGGCAGCCATCTTGGACCATTGGTATTTCTCCTCTACTTCGACGACGTTCACCATGTTATCACAGAGCCACGATTATCGTTTGCAGACGATCTGAAAGTTTTTCTGCGCATCCGCTCACTCGCCGACTGCCGTTCTCTCCAAAATCAGATTGACATCTTTGCTGACTGGTGTAGTCTAAACCGACTGGTGGTCAACCCATCTAAGTGTACAGTTATTACTTTCTCACGCAAGAAACAACCGATTATTTTCAACTACAAACTACTAGGCACGACTATCGAACGGGTGCACTGCGTGAAAGACTTAGGCGTTTTTCTAGACTCAAAGCTGACATACTCACACCATATATCGTATGTCGTCGACAAAGCGTCCAGAACGCTTGGCTTTGTCTTCAAGATTACTAAGAACTTCACGGACATTTACTGCTTGAAATCGCTCTATTGCTCTCTCGTACGATCTACGTTGGAATACTGCTCTGCCGTCTGGAGCCCGAACTACAATAATGGGGCCGAGCGAATTGAATCTGTTCAACGACGTTTTCTTCGCTTCGCGCTCCGTAAGCTGCCTTGGAGATACCCACTTCGTCTTCCAAGCTACGAGAATCGCTGCCAATTGATCAATATCGAGCCCTTACGTATCCGAAGAGATGTTTTCAGAGCCTTAACCGTCGCCGATACTCTGCAAGGAAGAATCGACTGCGAAGCAATTCTGCAACAAGTGAACATTAATGTTCAACCTCGATCACTACGCAACAGTCTTATGCTGAGACTTCCACTTCTTCGAACTAATTATAGCATAGGGAGCGCTATTTACGGCTTGCAGCTAGTGTTCAACCGAGTAGCGTCGATGTTCGATTTCCACTTGACACGGAATATGCTTTGCCGAAGATTCTCTGCCTTTTTTGCTGACCGAAGGCGCTTGATGCCCAACAGCTAAGTGTAAAATTTAAGACTTATACATTTTTAGTAACTTGACAATGCTTTCCTAGTTATTTTCGTTTGTAACTGTAGTATATGTTTGTCGTCTGTATAATCTGTACTTTTTTTTACAACACATCATTGGGACTATTTCTAGTCTGTTGATGCAACCATAACAAATAAACAAATGAACAAATAAACTCCTTTACAAAATTATAGCGATTGTCGATGCGCTTTGTTCGGTTGCTACCACCGGCAGATTTCAGCATTGCAATACAGCTTTGGTTGTCGTCGTGTACAACTACAGGAGCCAGAATTGGTTCTCCGACGTCCTTCAGTAGCTTCATCAGTCACATCAGCTCGCGGCTGGCTTCGGAAAGCGCCACGTACTCCGCTTCGGTAGACGAAAGAGTTACGCATGGTTGTTTTCGGGCTGCCCAACTGATTGGTCCGGTGTTGGATTTTCGGTCTGTCTTGTCACCAGCCCAGTCTGCATCGACGTATGCTTCCAGCGGTCCGGATGAACCTAGACGTAAGCTCCAATCCACTGTTGACCGGATACCGGGATCCATCGGTATCGGCGAGCGCTTCGCTTTTGATTGTCCGAACCGTTCGGCTACCTTCTGGATGTAGGTTTGTTGGTTCAGGAAAAACTGTCCGCCGGATCTTGTCACTCGGATTCCCAAATAGTGTCGTACGCTTCGTATTCCGCTTTTGTGTTAGTGACAATCAGTATGTCGTCCACATATAGTAATATGATCGTCTTTTACGAACAGGCATGGGTCTACTTCAGATGGCACGTAGCCTAGCTGCTTCAAGACTTCGGTGATTTTTTTCATTCCACACCCTTCCAGCCTGCTTCAGACCGTAGAGACTTTTTCGTAGATGCAGTACGCCGTCTTCACGTCGACGTGCTTCACCAGCATTCCTCGTCTGGCGGCGACACTCAACGGGGTCCGAAAAGTGGTTTGCTTGGCGACTGGCGCAAAGACCTCATGGTAGTCGGTTCCGTATTTTTGATTGAATCCTTGCGCTACCAGCCTGGCCTTATAGCGGATCAGGTTTCCACCCTCGTCCATCTTCTTCGTGAATACCCATTTGCTGCCAATAGCCTTCTTGTTTGGTGGCAAACGGACGACATCCCATGTGGAATTCTCTTCATGCGCCTTCATCTCTTCCTCCATGGCTGCCTCCCACATGTTGCGCTCGGGGCTAGCCATTGCTTCTTCGAATGTGCGTGGCTCGACGACATATTGCGCTGCTATGCGCACGGTGTCTTGGTACCGTTTAGGCGGGATGCCCTTCGTGCTACGCTCCGATCGTCGGACTACTGGTACATCAACTTCGCCGACGACGTCTTGCTCCTCCTGATAGTCGGATGTCTCAAGCTCTACCCGCGCTTCTGTTTCCACAAACGTCTCCTCATTGGCATCGTCGTAGCTGGTCTCAAACCCGAGTAGATCGGACTCATTCGATACGTCCACGCTCTCGTCCTCGTCGAACCCGAGTAGATCGAACTCATCCGATTGGTCATCGCTCTCGTCCACGTTTGCTGGAATAACGGGGACCTCA